CCAGTTCTAACTGTTGCTTCCTGTCCCACATATAGGTTTCTCAGGAGATAGACAAGGTGGTCAGGCACTCCCATTTCTTTAAGGACTTGCCATAGTTTGCTGTGGTTCACACAGTCAAAGGCTTTTGCATAGTCAATGAAGCAGAAGTAGATATTTTTCTGGAACTCTCTGGCTTTCTCCATAATCCAGCGCATGTTGGCAATTTGATCTCTAGTTCCTCTGCCTCTTCGGAATCCAGCTTGTACTTCTGGGAGTGCTCGGTCCACATATTGCTGAAGCCTACCTTGGAGGATTTTGAGCATAACCTTGCTAGCGTATGAAATGAGTGCAATTTACGGTAGTTGGAGCATTCTTTGGCACTGCCCTTCTTTGGGATTGGGCAGTGTCTAAGGACATTGTAGCACTTTAAGGACTCACTGCTACAGCATATATGTGTACATCTGCTATAGCTGGACAGCTCAGTGGATTCGGCAAGTGGCTGCAGAGCCAGAGGCTTGGGGGTTCAATTCCCCCACTGGGTCTCCCAAGAGAAGAGCCAGCCTCGGTAGCCTTGGGCCAGCTGCACAGGAGTCCCAGAGCTGCCTCCAGAAGAAGGGAAGGATAAACCACTTCTGAGTATTCTTTATTTAGAAAACCCTGGAAAAGTTTTTCTTGCCATCAAGTCAATTCTGAGTCAGAATTCACTTGATGGCATGCAATTATTAGATTGGTTAGTCTTTAAACTGCCACGATATCTTTCTTTGCTTTTGTTTTGTTTTGGTGGTGGTTGTTGAAATAAACGTAAAAAGCACCTAAGGGCAGTAGACACAGGCGGGATCTTGCTGGGTTATAATATGAAAAGCTTGCCCAAGCCATTTCTCTTGTCTCGGAAAGGAGAAGCAAAAGAGAGCCAGCCAGCCAAGCTTCACGGGGCGGGGGGGGGTCTTCTGTAATCTGGGGGCAGCCCTGGAGACGGCCCTGCTGTTAGACCCGTGTCAGACCTACCTATGTCGGCGATGAGACCCAGAAGAGGGCCTGCCTGGAAGATCTTAAGATCTGAGGAGGGTTTTATGGGAAGTTTTGGCCTGCCCGGTCGCCCAGACTGAAGCTATCTAGAGTGATTTTTTTAAAAATTTTCCCCTTCTTTGACCGTGATTCCTCCTATGGCTTTTCACACAGAGCACCAGCACCTGCGGTACAACCCCCTGCGGGACGACTGGGTTCTGGTCTCTGCCCACCGTATGCGGCGCCCGTGGCAGGGGCAGGTGGAGAAGCCCCCCCAGGAGGACATTCTGCGCTGCGACCTGGCCAACCCCCTGTGCCCGGGAGCCACGAGAGCCAATGGCGAGGTGCGTTCCTGGCTGCAGAGACGGGGTGGGTGGGGTGGGTGGGGGGAAAGCAAGCCATGGGGCTTTCCTGCAGTCATTCCCCAGACATGAAGCGGGCCACCCTTTAGTTCACAACCTCGGGGAACACAGACCTCCGAAGTGAACCTGCACAGACCTCTGAAGTGAACCTCACCGTGTTTGTATGTGTGTGTTTGTTTTTGTGTGTGTTTGTTTGGCACAAAGCCCCTCCGCTTTCCTTCCTTCCTCATCTTAACAAAATGCTGTAGGAGGGACGAAGAGGCCAAGAGAGGGTGGCAATTTTTTTTTTAAATTTTTGCTTGGGCACCAAGAGTTTGTGGTTCTGAAATGGGCCAGTGTGTTGAAGCATTTTTTTTAAAAAAACCTTGTTGCTCCTTCCTTTCCCCAGCAACTGAATTTCTAATCTGTCACAGGCGGACCATATAAAATGGGTTAAAAATCCTCCAGATAGCACTGGGAGGTGTATGAGCAGTTCATTTCTGGAGAATTAGAGCAAGGTGCATTGAAGTTGGCCGCTCTTCTTCCCCAGGAGAACGTCGGAAGGGACGAAAGCACGTTAAACCACTAGCTCTTACATGGTCTTTGCTCCTTATCACTTTTGTCGAGCACCTTTTGCTGAATAATCATTTAAGCTGCCATTATATCAGCTGAATTAGCCTAAGGGCGTATCTGTGGGGGTGTGGGGGTGTCTCAGCGATGTTTGAAATTAATGGAAAGGTAAAGTCATCTGCAGTGTGATTTTAGTAGCACTTAGCACATGTGGCTGAGTCGCAGTAACAGGTGTAGAAGGAATGGACAACTGCGATGACTGTGCAGTGGAGAGAAAAGCTGTAGCCCCAGGCGCTGTAGGTGTGTTTCCTGGGAGGCTTAAGCACCAAAAGGAGCCTTTTTTTTATTAAGTGGCAGCTGGAATTTTGTCCTTTCCAGCCGAGAGCTCCTTGGTCTCTCTAATCGTTCTAATTTCCGCTCCTGCCCAAACCCTACCTTGCATCCTCCGCTTCTTTGGGAACATATAGCTTCTCCTTTCCTTTAAAGTTTGTAAACCTGGAGGTTCTTTGTAGTGGATAAAAATCTGAGCCATGTCATTGATATTATCCAGCAGGGTGGCGAAGTCTGGGAACTCAAAAGGCCTGGGTCTCACTCTGTCTTTTTTTCCACGCAGGTGAATCCTAACTATGAAGGTACATTTGTCTTTGACAATGACTTCCCTGCTCTGCAGCCGGATGCCCCTGAGCCTGGTAAGTGTTCCCTTAGTAAAGAAACACTTGGTTTATTTATTTTTATTTATCTGATTAAAATATTGTCACCCCGTCTTTCTCCTTGAAAGGCCCAAGGTGGCCATTCATGAGCTGTTGGGGAAGCAGGAAGGAAAAACCAGCTTGGTGCCAGCTTCTCATAGAACAGTAGAATGAAAATCAGGGTAGGGGCGACGAGCAGGTTTGAGGGAGATTCCCATGGCGGTTGATGTTGCTTTTAACCAGGCTAACTGCAGAGTAGTAGGAATTTGAGCAGCGGAAGGCATAGAATTCTGCTGGAGAGGGAAGAAGGCATGTTAATGACACTTGACATTTTCCCACAATCTGGGGCATATGCTTCTGTGAGAGGATGTTGGCTGAACAGAAAGATGCGCACAGTCCTAGGATTTTAGAGATGTGGAGGAGAGGGATTAAAGGGGAAGGAAGAAGCAGCTCAAGTTTGAAGTAGTGTCATGGCTGGGATAGTTTTGGAGAGAGGTCCTGATATGTCAGATAGTCATAGTGGACTCCTGTCGTTAAACAGGGCGCCCGTTAAGCGAGGCACCACTGTATATATTTCTAAAGATGAAGTTACTAAAACTGGCCGCTAGAGGGAGCCAGAGACCATGCTATGCATAGTGTTGCTAGAGAAATATATTTTCATGATGTGATGACCAGAACTGGCCACAAGAAGGAGCCAAACACCATTCTATACATAGCATTGATTGTTAAAACAACATTCATTGTAATTTGCATTTTTTTAGCATTCAAGGGGGCTTGTAACCAATCCCCTGAGGATATGGGGCCCCTAAATCTATAGACATACTTTTTTCCCCACTCCACACTTCCCCTCCTCAGTCGGAAATATTTTCTGGGCTGCAATTCCCAGAATACATTTCTCATGTGAGGTGCAGGTCCATCTGTGTCCATACACACATTGTTAGATGAATTAAGTCTCCCCACAATATTTGCATTTTACTTGACACTTTCAAAGATCTCAGAAAGGTTTGTTCATTGTTGCTGATTATTGTTGTTATATCACTGTTTAATTCTGTTTTGCAAACCGCCTGGAGTGGCCTTGGTAGCCAGATGGGCAGTATAAAATAAGTAAATAAGTAAATAAGTACAGTGGACCCTTGACTTACAGACGGCTTGACTTACAGACTTTTTGAGTTACATACTTCTCTGGCCGCAAAATTTAGGTTTGACTTGCAGACTGAGATTTGACTTACAGACCAGAAAAAAACCAAAATGGAACAAAAACGGCCTGTTACGGGATTAATCGGTTTTCAATGCACTGTAGGTCAATGGAGACTTGACCTACAGACTTTTTGACTTGAGAACCGCCTTCCAATATGGATTAAGTTCTCAAGTCAAGACCCCACTGTAAATAAGTAAATAAGTAAATAAGTAAATAAGTAAGTAAATAAATAAATCCATCCATCCATCCATCCATCCATCCATCCATCCATCCATCCATCCATCCATCCATCCATCCATCCATCCATCCATCCATCCATCCATCCATACATACATACATACATACATACATACATACATAAAATAAGTAAGTAATGGCTTGGACTATCTGAACACTCCAGCTATTTTTCTGCCTTGTCTTTTCAAGTAAAGCAACCCCGATGAGAATAATTGGGTAGTTGTTTCAACTGTGCCCTTCCTGTGCTGCGGAGAGCAACGCTTTGAGTCCGCGAAATAATAGGCACCACTCTGTCTGTTTTGATGCTCCTTAGAAACCAAACACACTGTGGGCCCTAGCTCTCCATTCCTAATTTGGCAGGGCGCACCAGCACAGAAGTCGTGTGTGTGCGTGTGTGTGCGCATTGATGTGTGTTTGTTGGGGGGTGCAGATTGGCCACGGCTCCTGTTCATGGCTTTCTCATAAGTAGGGAAATTGAGTTACACCTGATTCATTTGTAGAAATGTCTTCCTTGATTTTGCCCGTCTTTGAAGTGGGTACTGGAGCTGAACGTCGCTCGGGAAATATCTCCGTTGGATGTTAGTGGTGATGGTGGGGAGGGCCAGAAGGAGAAGCGGTGGGGATCCTCCGGTCGGGGTACAGGTGACCACTGGGCAGATCTTAAGTGTGCTGAGCTGACTTCTAATACAGTGGTGCCACGCAAGACGAATGCCTCACCGGACGAAAAACCTGCAAGATGAATGTTTTTTGTGATCGTGTTGGTGACTCGCAAGATGGCTTCTTCTGTGGCTGTGCTTCGCAAGATGATTTTTTCCCGCAAGACTTATGCCTCGTAAGACAAAAAGAATTCATTTGTCTTGCGAGGTTCCCATAGGAATGCTTTGCAATGCGTTCCTATGGGAAAACGCTTTTTGCAAGATGAAAATTTTGCAAGACAGTGCTACTCGTGGAATGAAATACTTTCGTCTTGTGAGGCACCACTGTACATGCCTTTTGTTAGCTTCCTGTGTCACTGACTACATGCTTCTCACTGGGTTTCCTCTCCTTCCCCAGATGCTGGTGACCATCCCTTGTTCCGCGCAGCATCTGCTCGAGGCGTGTGGTAAATCTCGGTTTCCAGTCCCTTGCTGCCTCTCCTAAACCAAGTTAGGACTGCCTGGCGCTGTTCTTTTTTCTTCTCCCTTGTTCCTTTTGCACAGAACCCTTATCATCCTGGCTTCTGCCGGCCCCTTTCAGAAAGCTGAGAGCAGCTTTTGTGGTACAGATATTCCCAGATATGGTTTGCCAGGCCTCCATGTTGATTCGATTTCAAACAAGAAGCCTGGCTTTCATTTCTATGACTTTTGCCACTAAAGTGGCTTTAAACTAATCCAGCAGTTATGGCTGCATCCGAAGGCGGTTTCAGGGCCCTATGCAAATTCTGGGTTTCGTGAGGCTTGCTGCCTCAGCTGCAGCCAGCCACAAATGTAGTCCATTGCAGAAATTCTTGCCATGTTCATTGGCGATCCGCTGAAGTTTTTCAGCCTCCAGCAGTACTTGAGTTCTCCACCTCTCAAGGCAGTGAATGGAGGTGGGCACCCCATTTTGGAAAACCTCAAATTGAGCTCTCTCTCCTGACCTGTCCCCTTTTCCCTGTTCCACTGTGCTTTGCGGTGATCTTTCTGGCGAGATGTCTGAAACAGCCGCCTTACTTTCCTTTGCCTCCCCTTTTGCCATATAGTGCGACTCTTGTACCCACACGGGATCAGTTCCAAGCCCCCCTCGCAGGTACTGAAAAACGCAGATGATGGGAAATGCTATTTTAATACAAACCCCATAAGTAGTGTGGTGTCTGCCTCCATCTAGTGACCGGGTCTGGTAAATTCATTGTTAGAAATACATATTTCCAAGAATTCCTCTTTTGATATTTTTAATATTATCATACTGTGGATAAGTGAATCAGGGGATACCGATCCTGCAGATACGGGGGTTCCACTGTATTTTCCCCCTTCTTCTCTTAATAAAAGCTGATGCGCTATTTTAATACAGGCCCCATAAGTAGTATGGTGTCTGCTTCCATCTAGTGACCAGGTCTAGTAAATTCATTGTTAGAAATACGTATTTCCAGGAATTTCTCTTTTAATATTTTTAATATTATCATACTGTGCATAAGTGAATCAGGGGATACTGATCCTTCAGATACGGGGGCTCCACTGTATTCTCCCCCTTCTTCTCTTAATAAAAGCTGATGGTTCATATTCATTAGATGCTAACGGAGGAGACAAGGGGTAGGCATAGCCGTCCGCCTTATTCTTTCTGCTGCTTGCCAAAGCGAGGGTCATCCTTTCCCTCACTGTCTTCTCTTCATTCAGAAGAACAAGAAACCCTGAGGAGGGATACCGTATTTTTCTGTGTATTATACTTTTGTCTAAAATCTTGAGACTAAAAATTGAGGGTGGTCTTATACACAGAAGTAACCTGAGGGGAGAACAAACACACGTTGAGGGGAAAGCAGGGATCAAAGCGATCCTGCAGTGCTTTGATCCCTTCCCCCCTACACTTGCTAGATTTCTTAATTTGGGGTTAGAAAAGTGGGGGCGTCTTATACACGGGGGCATCTTATACACTGAAAAATACGGTAATTGAGGAGGATGTGGGTGAGGAAACTGCAACTGTGGTGGCGTATAGGTCTTGGTGTGGTGCCTTGTTTTGGCATCACAGATGATCCCCTTTTCTCTCAACCCTGTCTTTCTGTTGTGTTATCCTTTGTGGCTCAGTTCTTGGAGGGGAGGTCTCTTTGTACGGCAGGCCCTGGTTTTACAAGGAGGGGGTTGTGAAAAATATGGTAATTGAGGAGGATGTGGGTGAGAAAACTGCAACCGTGGTGGCGTATAGATCTTGATGTGGTGCCTTGTTTTGGCATCATAGATGACCCCTTTTCTCTCAACCCTGTCTTTTTGTTGTGTTATCCTTTGTGGCTCAGTTCATGGAGGGGAGGTCTCTTTGTATGGCAGGCCCTGGTTTTACAAGGAGGGGGTTGCTTGATGGAAGCAAGGCCACTCCTTTAGCACTCCATGCTAGGATGTTCTAATGATTTATACCTTGGAATAGTCATGTGGCCCCTGCAAGATGCGCCGGTTTTCGACAGAAGCGTGCTCCGGCTTCATGGTTTGTGTGGAACGGTGGGTTACAGGGACCGTGCAGGTGTTTGATGCTCCGGAGACTTTGGGGAAGCTGTTTCAGGGCAGGCCCAGGCAAATATTTATTGCCTGCCTTTCTCAAGCTTGTATCATTAAATTTGGTTGGTGGGCAAGACCCAGCATTTTCTCGCCACTGTCGTGCTGGAGGAAAGGAGAAGGAAAACTCCTATTTCAAACCTCCACTGCCTTGTGGCTGTATCCACTCATGGAAAAGGCTTCAGGAGTTAACCTTGAGGCAAAATCCGGAGCTGGAGTCCCGAAGGCAGCATGTGTCGTTCTGCCAACTCCTGCGACATTGCTGGAACCAGTTGTATGGGCTCTTGCCTTTCCATTGGATCATTTCAGCAATGTGGAGAGGGGGGATCTGCTGCTTGGGTAACAGCCTATCCTCCATATTACCTTACCCGGGCTTCATGCTCTGGAGAGGACACTCCTCGATTCAGAGCATGTTACCATAGTCTCTTGAGACTGAAGGATGCCTATACGTGCTGGAGGAGGCTGATGGGGAGCCCTCATCTCTCGGCATCTGGAAGATGTTCTCTGGGGTCAGGTGGGCCAGCTGCTCTGGGGGAACATATTGTTCACCCCCCCACGTTCTGCAACTATCTGTCACTGCGGGAGGTTTGATTTGGGGGCAGGGTTGGATTTGGGCAGCGTCCTGAATCCCTCCAGACTCTGGGCTTTGTGATTTGTTTTCTGCTTTTTTCCTTCCTCGCCCACCCATGCAGCAAAGTGATGTGCTTCCACCCTTGGTCCGATCTGACTCTGCCCCTCATGTCGCTGGCTGAGATCCGTGCCGTGATTGACAAATGGTCCGAGATCAATGTGGAGCTTGGCGCCAACCACGCCTGGGTGCAGGTCGGTATCTGCAAAGCCCTTGATTGATTGATGAGCCCTCCGTGTGCGTCCCGCGGGGTGTTGTTTGTTAGGAGGTGAGGGCCTCGGCAAGCCGGCTTTCAGTCTATGCAGAACTTTTGTTCCGCCGAGGTTATCCCTGTAGGAGAGGATTAGGAAGAGAATTGGGAGAGCAGCTGGTGCAGTTTTGGAAGAGTTCTGGAACAGGAGCCGGAGTATTCACTTCTGCCCGTGGTCGTGTTCTGGATCTCCGTCCTTACAAATGCCTCTGCTCATCAATGAAGATGGGTATGCATTCCTCGGAAGTGGTTCTGTTGGAGTTCACAAAAGCATATCTTGCTCTCACAGCCCCAGAGGACTGGTCTGTTATTTGGATGGTCTGGAAAGGACTCGATCTCAGAATCATTGCAGCATTGAATCATGGAGTCAGGAGGGGGCTAAAAGGCCATCGTGTCCAACCCCCTCCTCAAGGCAGGGATCCCAATCAAAGCAAATCGGACGGAGGGTAGCCCAGTTTTTCTCTTGAAGGCCTTCAGTGTTGGGAGTGCTCGCCACCTCCAGAGGTCTTTGCTTCCACTGACATACTGCTCTAACAGTCAAGAAGTTTTTCCTGATGTTCAGTCTAAATCGGGCTTCCTGTTGCTTTCAGCCCCTTCTTACATCTCCTGCACCCTGAGATGATCGAGAACAGATCCTGCCCTTCCTCTCTAGGACTGCCTTTCATTTCTTTGTCTGATCTCCCCTCATTAGTCTTCTTTTCTCAAAGCTAAACAGGCCCATTTCTTTCAGTCTTTCCAAACAGGGCTTGGTTTCCAGTCCTCTAATCATCTTGGTTGCTATCCCCAGGCGAAAACTCCCCAAAGCCTTTACTCCACCCCTCGCTGTGCTGGTCAGGATTTTCTGGGCGTTGTAGTCCAAGAACACCTGGGGTGACCCAGCATTGGGGACCCACTGAGCTGGAGCGGTGATGCTGGGACCTAAACTTTGTTTGTGACCACCCTGTAATCCATTCATTCTCAGCCTATGATTCTCAGCTTCACTGGAAATGCCAGGCAGCCGCTGGTGGTCAGAGCGGATCCATTCTGTTTTCCGTAATGTTCTCACTAAAAGTGAAAGGAAATAAAGAGCTTGACTTCTGTTTGAAAGAGATTACAGCAGATGTTCCCAACCCCTGGTCTGTGGCCTGGAGCTGGTCTATGGCCTGAGCCGGGCCGGGCCACGGAGACAGACCTCCCCCTGCCCACACTCCCCCCCCCGCACAGATTGTAGATCACTTTGCGCCTGCACGCACACGCCTGTGCCCACATGAGCACTTCCCCCCTTTGCGCATGCCAAGGAGCATGCCCGCACGAGCACCCTCCCACTCCTTTGTGCATGCGCACGAGCGCGGGGGTTCCTTCCCCAACCGGTCTGCGGGTTTAAAAAGATTGTGGACCGCTGCCTTACAGGACAGTGCCATTTAAAATGCTTGAAGAGCTCAGGAGTCTGCCTAGGAGACCTGCTTCCTGCTTCTGTATCTTCGTATTTCAAGAAGAAATGCGAGGGGAAGCCATGGATACGCTGAGAGATCCTTTCCTCTTTCCTTTCTGCAGATTTTTGAGAACAAAGGAGCCATGATGGGTTGTTCCAACCCCCATCCTCACTGCCAGGTAAGGAGGATCTCCTCACACGGCCAGCCGCAGAGTTTCGGGGCCAGACGAAGCTAATATGGGGCTGCCACCCACTGACGGTCCGGGAGAGAGAATATCCTGCATACACACAAAGGGAGACTTGTTGCTACAAGAACTGCTCAGTCAGGTCAGACATGGGGCTCCTGTCTGCGCAGTCCTTGACCCCTTAAGGATCAGGCCCCGGTGTTCTTGCACAACTGAGCAGTCCTCCACAAAGCCCGGCCTCTGGCTAGAAAATAGGAATCAGTTCAGGAAGAAGTAAACAGGTCTAGTCCTTGAAGGAGCCCTGTAGCGTAGTGGTTGAACTGCCGTACTGGCAGACAATACTCTGCTCACAATCCCGGTTCGATCCTAGGTGGCCGACTCAAGGTTCTCTCAACCTTCCATCCTTCCGAAGTTCGTCCAATCGAGTTCCCAGTTCGCTGTGGAGGCAATGCATAGCCTGCGTAATTCAATTGTAGATCACCCCCGAGAGTGCTTTAAGCACAACGGGGCGATAACAGAAACAGAACACTGCTTTTTCTTTTTTGCTTTGATTTGGGGCCAGTCTTTGCACTATGTATTTTAGGAAAGATTCAGTGACCTCTTTGGTTGGAAATGCAAACTGACGCGAACCTTTGGTTCCCCGTGGTCCAGAGGGCTTGACTGTCAGAGCTGTTGGACGTGTCTCCTGAAACCCAAGGCCCACACAGCTGACGGTTATAGGTACAGAATATTATAGGGTTTGCGGATTGGCTCTTAACGTATTTTGTTTTGTGATTGTGCTGCAATTCAGTTTGGATTGTGGTTGGGTGGAGGCGACAGTCATTTGGATGAACAGCTTGGAGAATAAACAGCCATAGAGTCCCAGGAACACTCTTGAGACCTGAGTAGACCGGTTTACTTCTTTCTGAAATGCTTCTTCTGCCAAAGGTTCTATCCTGTTGCAATTTGCTGTCTGGCTTATGGAGAATTTGGTGCCAGCACCTGTATTCTGAGGTAGCTCAGCATTATTATCTGGAGGGGCTTTCTTAGTGGCTTTACCACAAGCCCAGAGAACATATACATCCTGTCCCTGAACAGGCGTCTAAAATAAGATCCCATTCACAGGGATTCCTCTGGCTGGGACCCTCCAGTGACTCGTCTCGTAAACGTACAGAGTCGTTAAGCAAACGAGAACAGCAGTTTTCTGACTGACCGGCAGCATCTCTTGACACCGGGAATGTCACGACACCTCTGTGATTTTGTACTAGGGGGTCTGGTATTCATCTTTTGGGGTGGCGGCTCTTAACTGCCAGGATTTTGGGAGTTCTAGCACACAGACACACCCCCCCCGCCCACAGACACCTACATTTCACTCACCTGAATGGGACCTAGCCTTGGAGGCTTCTGAGGCCTGTGTCTCCTGTTTTTATGGGAGGTCTCGATCTTCATGGGAGGTGTAGTATCACTGACCATTCGGCTCTATAAAGGTGCAGCCCCATTGAATTACACCGTCCTCAACGGGGGCAATTTCCTTTTCAGCCTCCTGCTGTCTCTTAGCTTTGCCCCCCGCCGAGGTGGGTTTCTGCAGTGGCAAAAGATCATGCACCCTGTTTCTGTCCAAAGGGGCCTTCATGGGGGGGGGTTAGGGTTCTTTTGGACCGTGCCCCCAAGCTGAGCAGCAGGAGGCAGGTGGGCCTGATCCAGGTGTGGATC